TGAATTCTTAAAAATAAACATGCACTATAATATCAAATTTTATAATGAATAATGTATAGAAAATAGAAAAATAACGTAAAGTACAAAACTCACTGATCCAAGGTAAATATTCTAAGTTCCTAAAATACTATAAATATCCATTCCATTTATCCATCTAATAGAATTACAATCCCACCAGTACGGATAATTCATTCAATCGAAAATAGGTATATAATTATTAATCCTTTCTTTTTGACCCTGACTAATACATTCGGCGATCCATACAATATTCCTAATTTCTTGTTCCTTCAACTTCAAAAATGCGTAAAATATAGCATAATGAAATTGTTGTTGAAAGGTGAGTTTGTTGAGATTAACTTCATACTCGAAGAACCGATCGTCTAGTGTTTTGGCCTCACTTGTGTCCGTTCCACCAAACGATGACAACGTCGTGTCAAATAAGGGACGATATTCCTAGGTGTAGCAGAAAAAAAATTTTTTATCGCGAAATTCTCTTGATTTTGTAAAGCGAAATGTGAGAATTTGGTTTATATTCTTACCGCCCAAACTTCAACAGTTGATTTAACTTGATCAATATCATCAGCTCTTGCAAGCTTAGCTTGAGATTCCGGAAACAACTTTCCTAGGCTTGGAAATAGCTTTGCACGATCATCCCTCGACAATTCGGTACCAAAGGAGTTTATGGTTATGTTAATGGTACGACGGTCAGCTTCAAACTAATTAATCGAGTACTCCGTTAATATAAAAGTGACGAATGGTGAAAATTTTCAAAATAATAATATACCTCCAGAATTTCACACATCAGCTCTGCAGTCACACCGCCGAGACTTTTACAAAAAGCATAAAAGTCCTCGAGATATGCTTTATAGAGGGTATTGCGAATAATCTCAATATTTAATTCATCTATATCGCTGGCCGAGCATTTTACAAAGTACGGAGCTATGAAAACAATAACGTCAAAACACTTTTCATTACCAATTCAGCAGCAGTTTATGCGATAAATTAGTAATTAATTACCAAGTGGAGTTTCCACCATCACGGTTTCATATAATTCAATGACATTGGTTGCCACGCATAATGCAGGCATAGAATCAAATACTCCCAAAGGGTGACATCTCTCCAGTAATTCATGAGTATCACGTTCGTGCAAAGTACCTGTTATTAGGAGTATCGCATTATCAATCATGTATGCATAGCTATTCAGGAAAAAAAAAAGTCAGCTTAATAACTCTTGGTCTTGAACTTGTTCTCCTTAATAATTCTAAATACATACGTCAGATAATCCAAGAATTTGGACAAAGGTTCCTCTGCATTTTTTCTAACGTACTCGAATTCGGAAACAAGTTTTTGCGTTGCCTTGTCATTTATGGTTGATGTGGCTATAGGCGAAGGTTCATTCGCTAAGAAGTTACCATAGTCCGTGGCACTTAACTGAAGTTTTAAATCTGTATTAATATATAAAATAATATACCCGAATCAGCAATGAATATTTAAAAATTTACGCCACTATTTCTGGTGCTTCCTGTTATTTACCGTCCAAGGTTTCACATTGTGTAAGATTGAGGTATTGAGTGGAAGTGAGTATAGCACTCTTGTAACCTCTTACAATTCCCTCCAGGTAGCCACCATTAATATTAAAGTACAGAGCTTCCATGGTTGATGGTTGAATCTTGAAAAGATGATTAGTATTTACGATGTCCACGCACCTACGTACCACATTCCGACCCCTCGAATAATCACGCTGTGACATGTGACACAATCGCGCATTTGTCGATAAAATTTTTTTACCATATGTGAAACAATAATCATCATGAGTATCTTGAAGGACATCGTAACTGTAAACGAAGGTCAATAATACTTTTAATTTAATCTCCAAGTCCCTCCTCGATTGAAACTCAACTTTCGTTTTTTTCCGTTTGTTTTCCTCACAGAAGATGCAAATTTGCTTGTTCTGATCATTGATACAAACCCAGTGAACTGGGGAAAGGCAGCAAGCAGACCGACTAAGGGATCGTGCTTACCTTTGCAGGAAGCTTTACGCCACCTTATGGTATTCATCAACGCCCATTTGGCACTAAAACATGACAACGAGGTGGCAGTTATTGCGAGTCACTTTGGGGTTAGGTATGTTGTCAACACTTGATCCCAATGTCACCTGATTTTAATAAAATTCTTTATTCTTGCTTCTAGCAAGTTCCTTTATCCTATTCCGTCCTCGGGACAAACTCATGAAAGCTCCGATCAATCTAGTGATTCCAGCATGTTCCAGAAATTTCGCGTTGTTGACGATCAAGTGATATTAAACATAAAGGAATTGCTAGAAACCGAAGAGATACCAAGCTCGTATCCTGACAAAGGTTTTATTTATTTCCATGACAAAAGCGTCCTGTGAACTTTTAAATTTTTACTAATTGCTCTTCATTGATAGCAAGTTCAATGGTCTCTGGAGCTCTTTCTTTGGCTTTATGTTGTATCTAGCTTTATCTTGTATCATTTACTTAATAATGATTATATCGATGTGTATTCCGTTTATTTTCCGAATATCCTTGACGTGGTAAAACAGATATCAACCGGATTACAAAGGCTGACGAGCTTGGTCATATAAAATCTCGGATATTAATTATTTCGGTGTCTCCAGATTCTCCTTATCAATATATATCTATCATGAACTGCATTTTCTCGGCACAGAAATTGGTAAGCATTTCACGCGATTTTATTTTAGAGGAAGAATGTTAACTTATCGGTCACACAGGGAATACCAATAGACATCTGCAAGGTATCCGAAAACGATGACACGGTATTTTTGCAACAGGCGTCACATATCACTGGAGGAAGGTATCTCAGATTACCGATCGACCAGGCTCAAGGATTTTTGCAATTCCTGATGGTACTATCAGCAATGAAATTTTTCTCTGTGATATGAATTGTTGAATAGCCAATTTAATTACCGCAATTTCGCAATCTCTATCACCAGATAACATTTCTCCCCGACCGATTCAGCAGAAGGCACATGTGTTTGCCAGGGGAAGAAAAAGTAGATTTCGGAGCTGCCTGCTTTTGTCATAAGAGAACGATTAATATCGGATATGTGTGTTCAGTGTGTTTGTCAAGTATCCTTTTGAAAAAGTTTTTCTTATCTGGTCAAGCTCACAACATACCTTCTTAACAAGAATTTGTGTAATATAGTCTTCTGTCAACCATTAGATGAATGCTCAACGTGTCGATCAAAGGTTATTAACGGGATTAAAAGCCTAAGGCACATTAAGTAATCAGTGCATCAGATGTTTCCTGAATATTTTTGCATTGACAGCCTTCAAGTTTTTTGGTACGTCGTGGATCCAACAACTTCAATTGTCACCACAACTTTAGAATTTTTACCTTTAATATTTGCTATCCATAGCACATTCGTCTATGATCCTAAAATCGGATTATCATACAAAATGCATCTAGATGACTTATATTGCATAACTGTACTTTGAGCACGGGGCATCTAAGTTTGACATTAATTTCTATCAAGACTTTTTCATTTACGAAAAAAAATAACTTAATAATTATCTAAATTGAATAGTACATTTTTATGTTTAAAGAATAGTATCTTATTAATTAGAATGTTTTATTTAATGACATAAAATATATATTCAGTATGTAAACATATACAGAAGAGATATCAGTCTGGTTTCAAAAAAAATTAAATTTTTATTTCTTAACAAAATAAGATATATACAGTATATATATATTTATTTATTTATTTATTTATTTATATATTTAAGAGATAAAGAAGAAAGTTATATAAAATTTATTTTAAAAATATTAAATAATATTACTAAATTATAATTAAAAAAAGATAGTAATTTAAAACTTGAAAAATAATTTTACGGTTTATTAAAAAAAAAAAAAATAAATAAAAAATTTATAACATTGTTATTGTGTAATTCAGTTCCGGACTATGAATCCGTGTCATGTGATAATAAAGAAAATAACGGATTTATTGACTCCGTGTGCAACATACCCACATAATCATTTTGCTCTTGTAAAAAAAAAAACATATAATCCATCCATCCTTCCAAAACACTCATTCCTCAGTTTTCTCTCACGTATCTTTGCAAGATCAAAGTCTCACAAGTATCCCCAAGGTATGTCGTCTCTGTAAGAAGAGATGAGGAGACCTAAGTTGCCGCTACCGCCGATTCTGCTCGCTCTCGTTATCACACCGATCTGAAGTGGCTAAATAAAAAAAAACAGCCACACTTTATTTTTTTTTTGGCCGTTGAAATATACCAAGGAAAAGAATACTCTGTGCACCTACCTCCGATAAGATCATAAATATTTTGATCAGAAAACTCGATCAATTGTTTGAAGCTCATCACGTACTCGTCCTTTGACTTGTACTCGATGAATAATGGGTGAACCCCTCTCTAAAAACGTGCGACTCTTAATTGAGTGTTTAGGATTTACTTCTGGATGGTTCGTCTTACTTATCTACACACAAAAATACCTTCGCGTTGCACAAATACGACTTTCTGGTACTTGTCAACAACGGTCAAGGTAACTTATGTTAGACAGAAAATAGTCCATACGTACGGCGGTAACCTTGACCAGGTTTTCGACAGTTCTTGCCTTCTGATCATGGAAACTTACGGCATTAATCACTTTCTGTCACACGTGCTGTTGGACCATTCTTCTTTAAGGTTTCGTTCTCATTGTTCACTTACCTAAAGAGCATTGAATCAAAGAGCAGCAGAATACGGCGGAAGGCGCCTTATATTTCGGATTTGTGTCTGGGAAACGGGTTAAAAAATATCTCAAAGTTACTAAATCCTCTGCCACCAAAATCTCTTCATTCACGTGGTGTCGATCGACTTCAACCCTTATTTTACATTCAAGTTTTTCCACACTTGAAACCAATACCTCAAAATGACAGAACATGACGATTTGATAGACTACGATGAAGAAGACGAGAACATACCTACTGACGTTGCACCTTCCGAACCGCCTGCTGTAAACAGTAAAGATAATACTGAAGAGGATAAGAAAGATAAAAAGGGTAGTTACGTCGGCATTCACTCTACTGGTTTTAGAGATTTTTTGCTGAAGCCCGAGTTATTGCGCGCCATTGTTGACTGCGGGTTTGAACATCCCTCTGAAGGTTGGTAGTATCCAGATGTCAATAATATTAATAATAGTTTTGTGAAACATGAGGAACTGAATTTCCTTGTTCAATTTAGTTCAACAAGAATGTATTCCTCAATCAATTCTTGGTATGGATGTTCTATGCCAAGCAAAATCTGGAATGGGGAAGACAGCGGTTTTTGTTCTGGCCACCCTTCAACAGGTTGAGCCCGCCCCGGGGGAAGTTTCTGTCATCGTGCTCTGCCATACTCGTGAATTGGCCTATCAAATTAGGAATGAGTACACTCGATTCAGCAAGTATATGCCAGAGATTAAGGTTGATGTCTTCTTTGGTGGAACCATAGTCAAGGACGACCAAAAAAAGTTTTCAAACAAGGATACCACTCCTCACATTGTGGTTGGTACACCTGGAAGGGTACTCGCCTTAGTGAACGAAGGGTATCTCAAAGCGGGCAGTGTCAAACACTTTGTGCTTGACGAATGCGATAAGATGCTCGATCAACTAGGTAAATTTGATATTCATATCGATTAATTATTATCCCGTTGACTCGTAAGATGAAAATCATTAGCTTTAACCCAGCTCGTCTAAGGCTTAAATTGCCTAATGCGAATAAAAATATCTGACATTGAAATTGAGATGACATTTTTCAAAATATTTCAATTGGTCTATTCATCTAATATTCATTATTCTTTCCATAATATATCACAGACATGAGACGTGACGTACAATCCATCTTCAGAAAAACTCCTCATAACAAGCAGGTTATGATGTTTAGTGCCACACTTAGTAAAGATATTCGACCGATCTGTAAAAAGTTTATGCAAAACGTAAGCCTATTTCTTGTACAAGTGCTTCGTAAGATGGTTTAAATGTCTCGATGAATAACTTCACCTCACAATTAAAAACAGCCTCTAGAAATCTATGTTGATGACGAAACAAAGCTCACGTTACATGGCTTACAACAATATTTCCTAAAGTTAAACGAGTCTGCCAAGAACCGAAAATTAAACGATCTCTTGGATACTCTTGAATTCAATCAAGTGTGTATATTTGTGAAATCCGTTTCGCGAGCCAACGAATTGAACAAACTTCTATGTGACTGCAATTTCCCCAGTATTTGTATTCACGGTGGTATGACCCAAACCGATAGGTATGTTGAACAATTGGGTTTAAATGTTGTTATCTGTGTCGTAACTATTATTAATCCACCTTTCTTCCTTAAAGAATTGCTAAATACAAGGCTTTTAAAGATTTCCAGAAAAGAATAATGGTAGCTACAGACGTTTTTGGTCGTGGGATTGATGTTGAACGCGTAAATATCGTTATCAATTATGATATGCCTGACGGTCCAGACACGTACTTGCATAGGGTAAATCCTCTTCACGAGTTACTTTATGACTTTGGAATTCTATCTGTTGAATAACTAACAAGTTGATATGAATATATATATATATATATATGTATTTAGGTTGGCCGTGCTGGTAGATTTGGAACGAAAGGCGCTGCTATCACTTTCGTATCAAATACTGAGGATGCAGAAATCTTAAACAAAGTTCAGGAAAGGTTCGAAGTGAACATTACCCCGCTTCCAGATGAACTAGAAATTAATAATTACAGTAAGTCTAA